TGTTGGCTACTACCGAAGAAGTAGAGGGGCTAGAGTTGCCCAGTGTCACACTTAGACTTCCAGATTTCATGTGCAATCATGGACAAGTGAGCATCACACAGCCAAGAAATGAAGGCGGCATAAACTCAGCATTGTTCAGGTCGCTTGAAGGGTCTAATGAATAATGATTTGCACCAGAGAGCATTTTTCCGTGTGCTTGGTATTTTAAATTTTTTTCCTTCTTGATGTACATCACTCCTGATGGCTAAAGAATGTAGACAGGCGTAGGGATCCTGCTTTTCACCAAAACTTGTGCACCAAGAGAAACAGGTGTTTGCCTTCCATGTTTTTACTTTTACTTTGTTTTATGTGAATTATATTTTCACAAATGTTAAGATCTTTGAATGTCCTTTGGGGTCGGTTTTGTTTATATTGCAGTAGTATTTATTTTTTAGTGATGAAGATTGCGTGTGTCCTCCTAGCAGATACAGCTACAACTTACATAGATTAGGCTTACAGCAGTTTAGTTTGTCCTAATTGCAAAGGAATGTACAAGCTGATGAGAATCATGCACTTTTTTCTCCTATGTGGACATTTTGACAAGGCTCTGAAATTGTATACGCTGCATAGCAGTTGGCTTCAGGGGAAGAGATACTGTCATTTAACCCTTGGTGCTGTAAATGGAGAGAGCCCAAAAACCAGTATGGGGGAGTTAACAAAACAAACGAATGTTTTTGCTCCTTTGAGAATTAATGTATTATGAAAGCCAGGCAGCAGAATAGAAACAATGGTCTGTTTGGGGTGAAGGAAATGCTTTCAAGTGGTTTGACACCAGAATGAGGATGAGAAAAGCACTTTACTTGGCACACTGAACATGAAGAGGACTGATTGAAGAAACCACCGCTAATATGTACCAAGTAGGAAAGAAAGGGTAAGAAAACCCAGCATGTCTGGGCAGATCATGGTACATTAATCACTGAATTGTCATCAGGGAAAAAAAAAAGAACACCTCCAAGTTTTCTTTTTCTGTATATACTCATGTCCCCAAACCCCAACATTTCTTACTGAATGGGGCATGTATGCAAACCTCATCTTTCTCCTGTATTAATGATCTTCAGATTTAAACCCTCTGGTGCTAGGAGCTGAAGTTTTCCATAGCAGCCTGTAAGGCCTATGGGGCCAGAAGGCTGCTCTTACTACTAGTAGAAGGAAATCCTTGCTCCATAGGATTATCATTGAAGTATTCTGGTTTCACTATCTTAGCAGCTCCCACAGTGACAAATGGCAGCATTATGTAGTACTATGATTGTGTTGTATGAAAGAGCAAGTGACTTTTAGATAGGAAAAATAATATTCATATGCAGATGTCTTAGCTGCTTGATGCTGAAAGCGTGGATTTAATGTGAGACCACTGCTGGCAGTGGCTATGCTGGGGCTGACAAGAGGGATAAAGGGCATTTTATTAAGGCAGCTAAGACACATTCAGATATAGACTTTATTCTAATTTTTCATATTTCTGAGTGAAGTTCATATTTAATATTAAGTGGGCAATTAAAGCAAGGGATATCTCACTTTTGCTTATACTTATGGATTTCATCTTTTTACTTGGTAATGTATTGAGTTTTCATCTTTGGAAAAGAAAGTAGGAATAGTAAGCACATCCCATAAGTTGTTTTGCACTCATTACATAAGAAAGTATCAGATGAGCCGAGGACATGAGAGCTGGGGACTGGCCGACTGACCATTCTGAGCATTTGCTCCTTTGAAATGCCCTCTGTGGACCAACAGAAAGCCTATCACCCATATGCAAGGCACATCCATTAGGGGTTTTTTTGTTTTTTTTGTTTTTGTTTTTTTGTTTTTAAAATCTTGAGATGTGTTCTTTGTGACCTTGGCACTGGACACTTCCTAAAGATTAATGACTGGCTCTGACTAAGCCCCAGGCCATCAGCTTCTCCCAGCTGGCTCTTCCTTAATCTCCAGCAAATGGCCTGTGGTTCTCTCCCTATGCTTAGCTACTCTGCTTTTGTAATAGCATAGTAAAGTTTGCATTTTAGTTTGGTGAAATATTGGAAAGCTATTTCAGGTTGAATTTGAAAAAAGATAAACTGTCTCCCACATTGCTTTCGAGAAAACTGATGACTTATTCAGGACAAAGAGAACATCACTTGGTTTAGAGTTTGGGAATCTCTGATTTTGTGCCCCAAATCTTCATTCAGCTGGGAAAAGGGATGAAAATAAAAACAAAATCGCAATGTTGAAAAAAGAGATTGGGGGAACTTGTATTTGCTCACAACTGTAGTTTTAGAATTCTGGCAGGTGAAAAGGCCTTGGGACCTGGAACCCTTCAGTCAGTCATTGGACATTTCAGACGTGGTTGACTCCAACTTGTACTGACTGTCACTAAGTGTACCCCCTTGTACCACAGACATCTTGGAGGAAGTCGGCTCTTTCTGTTTGGACTGGAGGCAGATTTGCACACAGCTTTGCGTTCTATACTAACTGCATCTTCCAACACATTCCTATTGCTTAAAGAACATTATTCCAGTATTGTTTTCCATTTCCCACCCGTGATTTCTAGCTTCTTAAAGCTGACTCTTCTTGCAGGGGCCATCGTGCTTCTCCTAGAGTACACAAGTAAGGTCCTTCCTTACTAACTGCAGGGTCTATCTATTACACCTCAATGTACACACTTTGCTGCTACTGTTTGTACTGTCTACAGTAGAATTTCCTTATCTTGCTCCTGGTAGTGCATTACAGGCAAGCATGAACTGTAAAGTATTTATTTAAATAAATAAATAAACAACCATAAATGACACCTCTAAATTGGTAATTGAATTACCTCCCTGTAGCTTTAGAGTTTGTGACATTTCTTGACCTTGCTAGTTCTTTCATTAGATCCGTGCAAGATCTAGTCATCTGGTTAAGGATTTTAAGCAGACGTGACTATGAACCCAAGGAACTGTATTACTCTTACTGTCGGTCATACTTAAACTGTTTATTTCCTTAAGTATATGACCCACAAGGATGTGAAATAACTACAAGAAACTGTTTTTGTACACTGTACATCCTTAGTATTTTTACACGTATATGATAGGGATGCACATTATTTTCCTTCGTACAGACAGCTTAAATAAAGCACTATGTCAATCTGCTACTTCTCTGTTTATTATTGTTGGCTGTGGTCCTGACTTTCTGAAATGTGAAGATGGATATTTTTCTGCAAAAAGAACATTTTTTTAATAGTTATAATATTAACCACTGAAGATTAGGCTCCTCTGTAATAGGAATGTGATGGGAAGACATCAAACCCACATGTAAATTAAAACAAACAGCAAATGATTATTTAATTTCATTGAAGCAAGAGTATTCTTTTCCTTTGCATTTCAGTGTGGGTTGGGCACAGAAAAGATAAAACAACTCTAGAAAGGGAGACCATATTCTTTCTATAGTGACCATGTAGCTCTGTCTAGGGACTGAAGTGCAGAGGTGTTCTCATTCAGGAACCCATCCAGTTCCATGATTTCCAAAATTTTAGTCTCTAGATTCCTATGTAGTATCACGTCAGCTTTCCATCTTTCTTTTTGAGTGTTCTTAGTTTCCACTCTTTATTGGATATTTAAAGGCTTTCATAGTACATGACAGATTTGTACGTAGGTCAGCAGGAGTACACTCCAATTCACATGTAGAATCCTTCTGGAAGGGGACTCTAAGGGATCTATAATCTTCCACCTGGCTGTTTCTAGTTTTATCTCATATGCTGAACCGTGTAAACTGGCATAGTTCCTGTGACTGGTCCACATAAAAGCAGAGCCTTTGGGGCCAGTTACATTCAAGAGTACTTAAGGATTGCATATTATCGAATCAGATCCAAAGACATTCTCACATCTGCTTTCTTGGAACCTCTGGAGTTGATAGTTTCAATAGACCAAAATAAAAACGTCCTAAACGATTCTGCTAAAAGAAGATGTTTAAAGTGACTATTTTTTAAACTATGTTGTTAGAGCAAAATTAGGGACAATTGAAGTATTCCAAAGGACAGTCTATCTCAAAGGGATTCCTCAGGATGGAGCCTGAAATTTCCTGAACCTGAATAGAACAACCACCGTTTTTAGGCTTTGGAATTATAGACACACAGAGAGTCAAATATTCTCTAGATGTGTTCTGGTCACTGCCTCCAAACCTGACCTGGATCGATTTTTGACCAAACATAGCCTTACTATATTATAGTCAAAGTTTGGGGGAAAAAATTACTGGCCAAGGATTAGGGGCATCAGAACAGCCCCAGAGTGAATGAATGATACTTCTCCAGCTCCAACCTTGGATTCTGGTGTCTCAATGCCATCTCCAAAGAAGAAAACGTGCTGGATTTGGAGTCGGAGGACCCATATTTAAATTGTGGCTCTGCCATTAAACTACTTGTGTCACCTCAGGTAAGTCAATTTCCCATTACCGGGCTTTAGTTCCTCATCTGTAAAATGAGAGCATTTGGACTAGGAACCTGCAAGGGCTTTCCAGATCTAAATCTGTATTCCTATAAAATGTTCAAATACAACAATCTGACACTTTGTTCATTTCAAAACGTATGGAGTGTTGAGTCTCTGGTAGCATAAATTTCTGTTGCTTAATACCTGTCTGATGTTGGACTGAGACACAATCTTTGGCCTAAATTGCCACATGTGTAAAAGGGGTGGTTGGGCTAGGTCCTTTCAGCACTTAATCCTGTGATGAATTCTACAGTCTTCTAAACTCTATATCCTGTGACTAAGAGACCGCATTGTACTTTGTGCAGATTTCTCTCTGAGGTCTCAAAATAGTACACTAATCAACAGGATTATTATTGAATTCAAAGTCTTCTAAGATATTGGTGAAAGGGTAGAAATTATACCATGAAGAAGGAAAAAGAATGAGGGAGGTGGTATGGGAAGTGGATCTGTTCTTTTTTACAATATCACTTCTTTAAAATGTGTGCTTTTTTTGGTTAATCACATGAAGTAGAAAGGTAACATTAGAACTAGAGGTTAAAAAAATGGTCAATTTTATTAAATCTCACACACGTAACAAGAGTAAACAAGTGATCATTACAAAAAGTATTATATTACTTCAGACCAGTGCTGAAAGCTGATAGGCACGCAGAGAGCACAATGTCAAACCTCAACTCCAGCCCATCCACGTTGTAAGAAGTATTCTAACTGACGTGACCCCAGTTCCATTGGGGCCTGGCAAGAGGCACTGCACTGACAGACAGTTTCATGATGTACTGCAGCACAGTAAGACAAAATAGATGAATGTAAACATCTCTTTGCAAACGGTTTATTTCTGTGTTTCATCCAGGTCTGCAACTAGATTGTGGCGCGCTGAGCAACTGGAAGACAAACAATAGCAACCAAAGTTAGTGTAAATGGCTTATGTTCTGTTAATTGCCTTGTGACTCCAACTTCCTGGTGTAATCACCTCTTCCTGTGGCTAAATTATCAGAAAGTAAGTTTAGGAGGTTAAAAGTGTGGAAACTGTATATACACAAATGCTGTCGGAAAGGTTTGTGCTTCCTCTTGATCTTGCTTTGTCTACAGATCAAAGATTTCACTCCATCTAAGTACAAACTAAACTATTTTTAATGCTCCAAACCGGAAAAACAACCTGTGTCCTGCAAGTGTTTGTGTACCACATAAATCAGCATGGTCTGGCACTGACACCAGGCCAGAGTTCAGCTACTTCCCCTTTCCAGGAATGAAGACTCTGGTTGGTTTGTGTGAGGCCCTGTTTACTGAAAACTATTCAGACAGTACAGAGGGCGGTTAACTGGAGAAAAACAGGACATGGGGCGTGTGCAGCTAATCACTAGCTATGTGATGGAGCCTCATAAAACTTTCAAGCTGGGTCTCTGGGCATTTTCATTGACTCTGATAAAAGTAATTCACATGGACCTTTCCTGTGTCCTGAGAGGCAGAGGATTTTATGCATGTTGTACCTTTATCATCAAACAGTACTGGGCAATTCCCTTAGCAAGCTCCATTTCAAAAGATTTTTTTAACCCCACTGAAAACAAGCTTAGAAGGTTCTATTAAAAGGGTTTAATGTTTGACTTTCTTTGCTGGTATGAGATGGCTCTCTGAATATACGAAAATATATACATATGTGTGTGTGTATATATATATATATACACACACACACACACAAAATACTCTCAAATGTGCAGTGTCCTAGGGTTAGGACTATAGAGGACCACTGACAAATACTAGTTCATCAATTCATTCAGAGAACATTCATTGAACATTTATTAGGTGAAAATCACCTTGGGGGCAACAAAGATAAATAAAACAGTCCCAACCCTCAAAATCCTTAGTAGTGTTTCCTTAAAAAAAAATTGCCCAGCAAGGGAAGAGGGTTAAGAAATTGGTGGTAAAGCATTGCAGTGCAGCTGGGATTGGCTGTGTTCCACAGTTAAATTGGGAATAAATCATTTGCAATGAAAGATGGGCTGCATCTCCCTGCATGAGCAGGATTTTCTATACTGGATCAAATCAACACCCCAGGCAACATCACAGATGTAGAACCAATGCCATTGTATTTATTAAGCAATGCTCACTTATTGGGAGTTTCCAAAAACAAGCAAGCAGTTGAAGATTCAGAATTTAGATCCTGATATTTGTGAACCAAAGAGTTTAACAACCAACTTACTAGGGATATCCCTATATGATTTTTTTTTTAAATGAGATGCTCATTTTCATTTGGAGGGAAGGGGACAAATTCTGCAGCCTAAGTACATATTTATTGTGTTATTTATTGTTATTTTATGTGTTGAAGTTTTAAGACAATACATTAAGGACCTGTTATATGAGAGGCATCAGTTCTAGGTAATGGGGACACAAAGGCAGGGATAATAACAATTGATTCTGTTCTCAAGGAGTTTAAAATCTTACAGAAGAAAGGATATATAGACAGGTAAGTATGATATAAGAGAATGAGATAAGGGCAAAGGAGAGGCCCAGGCAAAGTGCTGTGAGAAATTTGAGGGAAAAAAGATCACTTTCAGTTGAAGGGTGTATGAGCTTGGGCTACAGTCACATCCATTTGCTAGATGACTAAAGGAAAAGATATGTCTGTCTCTGTTCTCTTCTCATGGTGGACAAGTCTGACTGGCTCTGAGCCTCCATCCCTTCTGGCCATACTTGATGCCTTGGACCTGCTCTGATCTAAAGCTGAACCTAGAAACAAGCAAAGGCCTGGCTCTGCAGCCTTTTCTTCATCTTTCTGTGTTAGGAAGATTTACAAGGATGTACATCCAGGTAAGCTGAGCTGGGCCTAGGAGATATAAACCAGTGCAGTGCTCTTTCCAGGAATAATTACGTATCTTATATTTCTAGAATTATTGTTAAGAACTTTATTTTTGTTGTTCTTGGCCTAATGATTCCCCTAATGGTTTGTGTGCTTGGTAGCTCAAGTTAGACCAGATTGGTATGCTCAATACTAATGAGTTAAAAGTACCTCTATAGTAGTCTGATGTTAAGCCCATTAAATATATGTTTGGAGAGAAAGAAAAAAAAGGTGTCCCCATTAATGAAAGCCAGAAAAGGTTTCCCTCACTCAGATTACCTGACTCCAAGAGGGCTCTAGTAATTTATCATAATCTGTCCTGTTCTCTGCCAGCATTCAGACTACTCCACTGTAACTGATGACCTTCCACTTAGGCAGAGCCATACTAAAGCCCCACAGATGTGAGATTCTCAGCAGGCACAAATGGAATTGAAGTCTACCCTAGTCATCCTGGTGGGGACGGGGAGGGGTCATCATTGCTTCTTTGGCAGTTTTCTGCTTTTTAACGTGGATCCTGTTTTATTTAGCGTGATCTCATTTGCATTGTAATGGTACTTATTTCTATAAAGATTCACCCATTCTGAAGGACAGCATAAAGATCCCTGTTCCCTTGTGCATGGTGGGTCTTCAGAAGAGAATAGCATTGGTCATGGCTCTCACTTTACTCCATGGACTCAGAAAGCTATGACTGACAAAGACCAACATCTTTTGGACTTAATCCATTAGACCTGGGTTCAATTGCTGACTTAGGAATTTACTAGCTCTGTAGCCCTAGGCAAGTTTCAGTTTCCTCATCTATAAAATGAAACTAATAAGAACATCTATCACAAAAGGATGTTATGGGGATCAAATAAGAAAACAGGCATAAAAGTACTTTGCAGACCATTTCTTATGTAAGCTATCATCACGTCGGAGAATTATGCTTAAGATGCTTATTTCCAGATGTCTAGTTCTGTTCATTGCACTATCGCAGTTATCACAAGCTAATTCTTGGTCTTCCTATCAGAAAGAAAGGTGGATGAATTTTGGAGGGTAGATGTTAGGCATATCTGGAAATTTTCAATCCTTTTCCTTTAAAGTACTGTTACTGAAGATAACTAAGAACAAAAAAACCAAATAAATCCTTTTCTCTGTGCCCTTGGCTGGTTGCTACCACCTTTTAGAGTGAGGTTGCTTATAGTAGTCAATCTCTATTCACCTAATGCTGCAGTGGTGGTAAATTCACCCTAGAAATAGACTGAGCATCCCAGCATCTCTGCCAATGTTTAATCTATGCTAGTAAAGTGTGTGTGTGTGTGTGTGTGTGTGTGTGTGTGTGTGTGTGTGCGCGTATTTTCATCTATACTATGCTTGCCTGATCTCTAGTCTCTGGTATAAAGAGGAGAGGTCAGGCACAACCTTCAATCTCCTGCTGCAAACGTCCCCTGAGGGAAAACAAGGAAAGTCATAGGGGAGGCAAAAGGTCTATATCCTGCTACACGACTTCTATCTCCTACTGCATCATCTCCTGTTTTCCAGACTTCAGAAGGAAAAGGAGAGGAGAGACAGGAGCTTTCCATTTGACCATGTGCCTTCCATTTTGTACTGCATGTCTGTCTTCTGCCTTATCTCCAGCCATTCCTGGGAAGAGTGGACATAGTCTGCACATCCCAGTGATTCTGAATGCCTGTTGGTTCTCATCTAAACCCCATTCTTCATCCCTAAAAGTCAGATTCTTTATTCCTATCCCCCTCAACCTTCCCACCCCAAAGTCCCAACCAAACAGTCCTCACCCTTTCCACTGTGCCCTCTGGAATTCCTGGTTCATATTTAACAAACATGCCTCCATCTTAAATCTTTCCTCTTCTACTCTCCGTCTTCTGGCAGTCACCAAGACCTGCCTTCCTGCTGATAACACAGACTGCCTGGCCACCCTTTCAAGTACTAGTTGCACTTTTAACTCATTCTTCTTGGCTCACTGGTTGAGGCAGGACCAATTCCAGGATCTCTTCCTACCTCTGTCACTCAGCAACCTCTCCTCCTTTGAGATCCATACAGTCCACATCTTTGTCCCAATCAAGTAGCTGTTGTCTACGGATCTCCAGGACATATCCCTTCCTTATTCAACTAGTTCAGTACCTGGCTCACAATCTTTCTTCCCCAATTCCTGCCCTCAAATTTGGAGACGTTAACAAACATAATGATACTCCTTCTAACACCCTAACCACTCAGTTCCTCAACCTACTCACTTTTAATGACCTATTCCACTCCACCCATAAAGTTATCCATTTAATCTTACTATTATGCCAAAATACACCTCTTCCGTGTTCAAGAATTCTGAAATTATCTTATTTGACCACAATCTATTGGTTTCCTACCTCTTCCTCTGCTTTCCCATAACAAACCATAATCATTGTCTATGCCATGGCCTCCAATTCCTGAGTCCCTCAGTTCTCTTCCAGGCCATTACCCCTCCACTTGCTACTCTCTCCTCTTTTTCCCATCTTAACCCCTTTGTGAGCCAGTTCAATTCTCCGCTGTCCCTTTGTGTTAAGCCACTCCCCCTGCCCCCATCACGTTGCTGATTGTGCCCCAGGAAGCCTCAGCCTTGGATCACTCCCATTGTCCACCACCTACACATGTGCTACTAAACAAAAGTGAAGAAAATCACAAACTTTTTAATGGGACCACTGCAAATTCATCTTACACAACTTAAGCTGGGTCCTCACTGTTGGTAGGCAATCCTTTTCCCTTATTAACTCACTACCATGCTCCCTGCAGCAGCTTTTACAAACTTTTCACTTCTATCCCTTTTCAAACATCCCATGGCTCCCACTCCCCATCCCTCTCATTTGAGAATTTTGTCACACATTTTATGTTTTTGGGGTTTTTTTGCTTTTAGGCAATTGGAGTTAAGTGACTTGCCCAGAGTCATACAGCTAGTAAGTGTCAAGTGTTTGGTCTGAGGCCAGATTTGAACTTAGGTCCTCCTGACTTCAGGGCCGGTGCTCTATCCACTGCGCCACCTAGCTGCCCCTATGTTTTACAGGAAAAAAAATGAAACCTTCCATGTAGAGCTTCTTTGCCCCTTCTTTTCATCTCCTGTCTCTCAGATGCTTTCTCCCACTATGTCTTCCTTCACCTCTGTCTTACACAAAGAGGTGGCCATATCTCTTTACCTGCACAAGCAATCCCATTCCATCCCATGGCATCTAATAAATTCTCCCTCTATCTCCCCTATTCTCTCACTTGTCTTAAAAAATAAAAACTTCCTTTATTTTTATTTTTACTTCTATATTCACTCCATCTCTCCAGTGTTCATTATATATATAAAGTCATGCAAAACATTTCCACAGTAGCCATGTCACAAAAAAGCAAGAAAAATAAAGTAATAAAACATACACTTCAATCTGCATTCAGAGTTGATCAATTGTCACTTATCTTCAATCACTCCCTGCCTACTGGCTTTCTCTACTGCCTACAAATGTACCTATGTCTCTCTGCTACTCAAAAAAACCTCACTTGATCCTTCCATACCAAAATTACCTGTATCACCTGCCTTTTGTGGCTAAACTCCTTGAAAAGGACATCTACAATCAGTGCCTCTGCTTTCTCTCTTCTCCCTTCCTCAGCCCTTACAATATTTCTGATCTTATCATTCCACTGAAACTGCTCTCTTCAAAATTACCTATGATACTTTTTTTTTAACTTTCTTTTTCTTTTTCTTTTTTTGGTGGGTGTTGTTCTTTTTTAGGCAATTGGGGTTAAGTGACTTGCCCAAGGCCACACATCTAGTAAGTATCAAGTGTTTGGTCTGAGGCTGGATTTGAACTCAGGTCCTCCTGACTTCACTGTGCCACATAGCTGCCCCTTTATTTTTCTTGAGGTTTTTTTTTTTTCTGTTTTCTTTCACAACATGACTATTATAGATATGTTTTACATGACTACACAAGTATAACCTATATCGAATTGCTTGCCTTCTCATTGGTGGGGGTGGGGTGGGGAAAAAGAGGAAGGGAGAGAATTTGGAGCTCAGAGTTTTAAAAACAAATGTTAGAAGTTGTTTTTACGTGTAATTGAGAAAAAATAAAGTACTGAATAAATAAATAAATGAACAACCAAAAAACAAAGTTAACAGTGATCTCTTAGTTGCCAAATCAAATGGACATTTCTCAGCCCTCACCCTCCATGACCTCTTTGCAACCTTGGACACTGTTGATCACCCTCTTCTCCTTGATAATCTCTTCTTTCTAGGTTTTTGGAACACTGCTTTCTCTTGTTTCTCCTGCGTATCAGACTGCTCAGTCTCCTCTGCCCACTAACCATGGGTGTTCCACAAAGCTCTTTCCTTGGCCCTCTTATCTTCTCCCTCTATACTAATTCCCTTGGTAATCTCATCAGCTCCCATAGATTTATTTATCATCTTTATGCTGCTGATTCTTAATCTACCTGTTCTATCCATTAATGTTTCTGCTGATCTCCAGTTTTGCAATCCTTAAGTGCCTTCCAGACAGCTCAAACTGGATGTCCAGTAGACTTCTTAAAGTCAACATGTCCAAAACTGAACTCATCATCTTTTCCCCCAAGCCCTCCCCACCTTCCAAACTATCCTAATACCGTACTGATACACCATTCTCCCAGTCCCCTGGGCTCAAAACCTGGATGTTATCCTCAACTCACTCTCTCCCATCTTCCACGTGCAACATCTCTCAAACATGCTTCCTCCTCTCTTTTGAGACTGCCACCACCCTGCTACAAGGTCCTCATCGCTTCCCTTCTAGACTCACTGTAGCCTGACGATTGCTCTGTCTGCCACAAACCTCTACTCATTCCATTCAGCTGCTAAAATGATTTTCTGAAAGCACAGGTCCAACCATGTCACCTCCTCCCACTGACTCAGTAAACTCCAGTGGCTGCCTATCACCTCCATAATCAAATACAGAGTCTTCTGTTAGACATATTCAGAAGCCTTCATAACCAACCTCCCGCCCAACCTTTCCAATATCCATCTAAAATCCTACTTTCTACAGGAAGCCTCTCCCAACCCTTTTTAATCCTAGTGCCTTCTTCTCAGTTATTTCCTATTTATTCTGTATATAGCTTGCTTGTACAGTTGGTTTGTCTCCCCCATTAAACTGTGAGCTCCTTGAAGACAGGGACTGTCTTTCACCTTTCTTTGTAACCTCAGCTTAGCATACTGGCTAGCACATAGTAAGTGCTTAATAAATGCTTACTGGCTGACTAGATAGTCAATTCAAGATTACAGGGGTACTACTGATTACCTCCATAGCTTATCACCTTCCTCCTCTTGCTTTCAGCAAAGTGTTGAATTCAGGTGATCAGAGTTCAGCTCTCCTGACCTGTTTCTGTTTTAATGCTAGAATCCGTAACAATATATTGGGAGTTTATCATTTTCCTTCATCTCCCTTCTGGTCATTTGTGGTCCTTGAAATGAATATGAGCATGAACTTCCCTCCTGTTTTGTTTTCCATCTCATTACTAATCTTAGAAGCTTTGTAATCCCAATGGTACTTTACAAGTAGTTTGTAAAGAGAACCCAGTGGGCAATGGTCAAAGTAGACCCAGGTGATCCTCTAAATGTTGGCTAAAATGTGTCCTTAAGAGTCCTGTCCTTCCCCATTTCAAAAACGTAAAAATCTGGATGCTTTGATTTAACTCCCTCACTCTTAGCTCAGGTTGCAGAGAATCTTGCTGTGTTCTATTTCCTCCCCTGACCCCAGGAGGAGAGAAAGTAGAGGGCCTGAAAGAGCATCCTTGGAGTTTTGCTGCTGCCAGTTGTACCCAAAGGGCAGCAGTTGACTGGGTAAGGTCACAGAGATTTCCATAACTGAATTTGGCTTTGCTTAGCAGACACTCAGTGTTCTGCTACAGTGAAAGCTTCTGCTGCAGTGTGGGGACAGTTGGAAGAAGGTTTCAGATATTCCATGTCTTCAAGACCTGGGATTTGGCTCACGCAGCTTTAGGTCCCAAGGAATTTCAAAACTGTAGCAAGCAGAAAAACAATCACCACAGAACAAAAGATTTCCTTGCATATAAACAGAAATTGGTCTCTTTTTTGCTCCTTATAATATAGCATCTTGACCTACGACTTTGTGCTTTCAGTCACAAAATGTTGAGGCCAGAGAGAAATCATCTAGTGCAATCCTCTTGGTTTATATACTGAGGGAAAGGAAGCCCAGGGAGTACGTATTGGAAGAGGAGGGTCACACTTGTTGATGGATGTTGATGGATGTTCTGCTACCTTTCCCTCTCACGGTACATGCCAACACAAGAGGGCTCCTTCAGCAGCTAGTGGCATCCCGAGTTTGGAATCTCACAGGCTTCCTCGAATCACAGAAGTCACAAGAACTTTCTCGGCACACGGGCAGGTGTCTGTGTTGTTATATGAATCATGTTTCCATGGTAAATAGATTTTCAGAGCTCCCAAGGGCTAGACAGTGTCTCTGACAGCAGAGAGTGGTGCCTCTGGCTGCCTCATGTTTGAAAGCGTTAAAAATAAAGGCAACGTTGACATTTGGGGTTGTAATGTGATGGAATTGCAGTCTTTTAAAGGCAAGAACCACTTATCTCACTACATGTAATATTCAGTGTTTTGTTCACTTGTCTAATTGGATTAAAATATTTAGCTCCCTTAAAAATCTTGATTGTGAATTTATATCGCAAAATATAATGTCTGACTTGGGAAGCAATAGATGGAACAAATGTATCTGAAGCAATATAAAATTCAATTTATTTTCCTTGCATGATGCTTGGTTTGAAATTACTCACTCTCGGGCAAAATGAACTGTCAGAGGAAGAGCAGGTTTGGCTTAAATGGAATCCTCTGTGCATTTCAGTATTAATTATGCATAAAGCCTCAGTTTTAAAAAGTTGTTAAAATGTACAGTGTTTGAGATATATGTGGTACCTTCTCAGCAGGTCAAAGGATCTTGACATTTGAAATGCAGTGGAGGGGCCTTATTTCTGCCTTCAAAAGCGCCCTGGCAGCAGGGAGTTAATGACATTTTAGCTGCATATGTTCAAGTTTATTTTAAAAAATATGCAACAGTCACTTTGGTTGACAGTGTCTTGTACACAGTTTTGAAAGAATCAGGGCAAACTTTAACAGAGTCAGTTTTTATTTGAAAAATATTTTCTGGGAATGTATCAGTGTTTATTTTTGAGACTGACAATTCGGGTGAAAATCAGGATAAAAACAAAAAAACAACAATTTGGTTGAAATCAAATTGTTTGTTTTCATCTATTTGGAATTCTTTCCAAAAAAAAAAAATCTTGATTCAGGAGGAGGCTTTTTTTTTTTAGTTTATTCAGCATATTTGCTGTTATATTCAAGCACCATCTGTCCTGCAGGTAGCTAACTTTGTGAAAGACTCTAAGGCAGCTGGGTGTAGAGTAGAGAGCTCTCAGAAGGCAAGCCAGCATAGGTGTGGTGTGGCGTAAGGACACTCAGACATGATCACCTGGGTGTCCATCTTTGTAATGCTCATGATAACTCATTCTGGCAAGGACCTCGTCAGCTGAGTTTCCTCATCCACAGCTTCCTCATGGTAGCATCATCTAAATGCTATGCCCTGTTTCAATTTTTAACATCCCCAATAATCCTCTCTCTTTTATTCCACTGGTTAATTTTTGCATCATTCACTGATTGGTTTGGAAGCATGAGACAATGTGGATCATTTTAAAAATAGCCACAGACTACCATTAGTACTTTGCACATGTTTAATAAAGAAATGAAAAAAATTGTCAAGGCTACTAAAAAAAAACACAAACGTAGGTGACTAACTACAGTTTCAGAATCCTTTTGATGATAACTTGCAAAAATGACTAAAACAGAAGAAACTTAAAGGGAATGACTTCCCAGAATTAACACTTTAGATGGGATTAATTATCCTGTCTGGGATGCTGGTTACCAGAAAATGCAAAAAGCAAAATAAGTGAAACCATATCCAAATTTTTTTTTTAAAGCAAACTATACATTTAAGAAAATCCTATAAATGTGTAGATCACTTCTGTTCTTTTCCATCTTCCAGATGTCAAACTCCCCATGAAAAGACCCTTAACTCCCCACCAGCTGGCTCCCTACTTCCTGGCCAGCTGTTAAAGCCTCCAGGCTTTGAGACACAAACCCCTGACCCTACTCCCAGCTGTCAAGCCCTCCATCTGACTCTCCCTCCCTCAGCTGCCAAAGTCTTCCTCAGCTTCCAGGACCAAGTACCTTAGTATAGATATGCTGTCCATTCTAGAAAAACATTCCTTCCTTAAGAGGTCATAAGAGGCTGTGACAGTTCATATTTTGCTCAGAGAAAAAGGGAGTAAAAATACAATGATAGGAAACACAATTTCAGGCTTGTCTTGGTGTGAAGAGTGGAAATGGAGAAACTAGTTTCTATATTTTTTGGAACAATGTTTCTGGAGATTCATTATTGCTGCAGTAACTCCTTACAAGAACCAATGCAGTCCTTTTTATGAGATTTAAAGGCTCAAGAGGTAAGATCTTGTGCTTAAGGGTTAGTCCTAAAGCTATTCCTATGCTGAGCAGCCCCATAGGATCAAACTCGGCTCTCACTAGGCTACTTAATTGTTCAGTAGTACCACTGGAGGGAAATAATGGGAATTCTCATGGGCCAAAAACGTTACTGATGTGGTTAAGTCTCTGAATGTCTTTCTTTGCTAGGCATCTTATAGTTCACATTTCAAAATTTAAACAGAAGTAATTTAAGATAATACAGCCTAGTTCCATTCTTTTAAACTGGGCAGGAAAAAAATTATTCTCCTCTTCCTGAGCCCAAATTCTATTCCCAATCATAGAATAAAGGCTGTGGATTCCGGTGATTCAAACCCATAGCTATAGGGCCCATTGGCACCCAAGCCTAAATCCATCCAAGTGACAACACCTCTATTTCAGAGCAGAGACATGTGACACAAACACCTGGATTCTCGGGTATAGAGATGGACAGAGATTTGGTTCAATTATACTTTGCCTAAAGGATGCAGATTTTTACATAGCCAAAAGACATCTCAGTTTGTTTCTGGTTGAAAACTTGTCTGCTAATGAAATGACCAGGTGGACAGCGAGGATACTACCAATAAAATATAACACTTGGCAAAATGTTCCAAATCATTGTAGAAATATGGATGTAGCCTCTGGCTTTTTACTTTTTAATGTGTGGTGGTGGTGGTGGGGTGTGTGTGTGTGTGTGTGTGTTGTGCATTTTAATGGTCATATGCCTGCCAGTCCACATTGCTCTGAGGTAGGGTATGGAGAGAGACTGGAGTGTCTCATCTGTGACATCAAAGGTGCTATTTGCTAACATTTTAACTGAAATTTCAAAATGTAAATATCAGAAATAAATAACTTGAGCTAAATAAAGGTGGATACAGTTTGGCATATATAATAGTTATATGTAATTCATCTAACTATATCTAACCATGAAAATGCGTTATTACTGTTGTTGTATTGATATAAAACTTTAAAACATACATAGCATTTTCCTCACAGCTTTGTGAGGTGTTATTATTCTCAAACTACAGATGAGGAAATTGCACCTCTTGTATTTGTACAGGGTCATGTCCCTAGCATCAGAGGCAGAACATAAGTCTACTTACTCCAAGGCCAGACTCTTTCTCCTATCTCCCCTTGAAATCTCAATTCTGATATTCACTAGTTACAAAGAGCGCAGAGCTTAGCTGTGCACCCAGTAAAAATAAATAAAAAGCCAGCATTCTTGATAACAATGACTGTATCTTTCTTGTTCCAGGGCTGTCATCCTGCCGTCATGAAAAAAGGGATCTTACTATACTCGAGAACAACTTGGTGTGTGCTGTGCAGTCATATGCTTTATGTTAAATAGCTGTCTTAGTTGTTTTAAATGGTTCACTGGAAGTTTCTCTAACATGAAGCCTTTCTGCATTGTAGAATTCAACGAGCTTGTTCAATTGTAAAAATTCATCCCAAGAGGTTGAAGCGCACTGACATTCCCTAAGTCAAGTCTGATGCCATGCCTGGGTGACAAACAGCCCTTCAGTTTATGGCTTCAGCTGAGAGCTTTCAGACCTGGATGGCTGCCTCCTCTTTGAACGCTCAAGTTTGCCTCAGAATGAAGCCAAAATTTATCTCTCCCAAATTTCTTTTGTCATGTTCCTATTAAAATAACTCCAAATGTAATATTTGAATCTGAAAGGTTCCTTTAGAGATGAGCCAGATGGGCTGGTATCAGATAGCACTAGCTGGTCAAATCAGTTTTGTTGTTTCAGGCAGCGGAAGAAAGCCCCACTCATTTCCAGAGGACTTGCTAGTTTTCTACTGCATTTCTCTGAGAAGCTCACAGTCCACTTGAGAATTACGAAATTCTGAAAGCCTTAAGACAGGTCCCTAAAGCACCGATGATTTTAACGTTAAAAACTGACAGTGCTCGAAGCAGGCAGTAAGGGATTTAGAAGGCAAACCGCATATTGTAAGGATCAAGTGGAGAATGGTGCTGAGGCTGAAATTTGCTCCCATGGAGCCTCCCTCCTCCATTTCTCTGTAGGAATGGGCTTTTCGCTGCAGAGTAGCCAAGAGCCTTTAGGACCTATATTCCTAGTCCTGGGATTACAAATGGCCAGGCCAGCAAGGGTGTGTGCAACCTGGTAGCCCTCCGTCCATCCCTCTAGGGCCTAGCTATTGGGACTAAGTGAAACCTCCAAGCCCCCAGCCCTCATGGATGTCACTGGGAAAGATGACTGGGTGGGCCAGAGTCAAAGTAAGGCCCTTAGAAAGGAGGATGACATTCTAGGGGCAAAATATAGGAAAATGAGAAGGTATTGTCCCTATCCCTGTTGCCCAACAGTACCTGTCCACCTTTTCTGTGCTGTTTCTCCCTCATTCTTTATGTCTGTCACCAGCTCCCCACCCCCAAAGGGATTTGGGCCAGTGAGGCAGTGTAGGGATGAGAAAGATGAACATATATAGTTCATACTTACAGAGTATTTACAGAGCTAGGAATACGTTCCCCACAACAACCCTCTTAGGGAGTATAACTAGTATTACCTCCTATATAAAAGGGAGAAAAAAAGATACAGTTGACCTCCAGCTCCCAGGGAAGGTCCTCCTCTGAGGATCCATCCTATTGGATAGGCTGAGGTCTACACCAGCCAAGGAAATACCTCCACGAGTAAGATTATAGGTCCATTGAAGTACAGAAGCAGAAACAGACTTGGAGAGGGCATGGGATGCCAGGATGGACAGCTTGAGGGACAGAGCCAGAAGAGACCTCAGAGGTCACTGAGTATTAACTTTCTCATTTTACGGATGAGGAAACAGGTCCATTAAGGTAAGTGTCAGATGTGAGATTTGAAGCCAGGGAGTCTATTCCAGCTCTATCCACTAGGCCACTCTGCTTCTGATACCCTTCAACACTAACTTTTTTTGGGGGGGCGGGATGAGGTAATCAGGTTAAGTGACTTGCCCAAGGTCTCATAGCTAGTAAATGTCTGAGGCTGGATTTAAACTCGGGTCTTCCTGACTCCAGGGCTAGTGCTCTTCACTGTACCACCTACCTGCCCCTCAATACTGGCTCTTAACTTCTGCTCATAGAAACCTAAGGCCCAGGACTGGACCCTTCCCATATCCTTCTAGAAAGAGGCAGAGCATAGGGTAATAGAACACTGGATTTGAAGTCAAATGACCTACGTTTGAGGCTCAGCTCTTCCTCGTGCTCTGCAACCTGGGGCGAGTCACCCAACCTTGTCCTAGGTCACAAGCCCCTGACGCTGGGCCCAACTACCAGGCCTTTTGTAGGGCTCCCCTCTACAGGACTGGACTCCCCTCCTCTGGTACCCCAATAGCTTAGCCTACAGAGCCAACCTCACCTCACCCTAGGATAGAGACTGTTGATTTCAATGAGATTCTGTCCCCCTTAAAATCACACCGATCTCTTCCTCTGAACTTAAGAAGCACCTAGTCATCATCATTTTTATAAAGCATAAAGGTTTTACAAAGTACCTTTCCCAAAATAAACCTATAAGGTTGATAATGCAAGGATTATTGTTGCCATTTTAATGATGATGAAATTGAAACTCAGAAGTTAAATGACTTTGGCAGACATTGGAATGCAGGTCTTCTGTCTGTTAAGATCCCTGCTCTTTCCATTCTAATTTAAAGCTGAATGATACTACCTGATAACTGTTTCCTATTGTTTCAGTGGGATAAAGGAAGGAGAATTGGACTTAATGAGGAAAACTGGGTTCAGATCTCAGCTCTGACACTAATTGTGTGACTCTTCGCAGATTACTTCTCTTGGCCTCAGTTTCTTAATCTGTAAAATGGGGGTAACATTTTCACTACTTACCTCAAAGGAAAGAGTTTTGTAAACCTTAAAAATGCTGTGTATATATAAGTTATTCATTTTAACTTCAGTGCAGTTGGTTTGGATTCTAATTAGATTGTGAGCTCCTGGAGGGTAAAGGACTATTATTGTCATACATTCCATATATTTCCTGCTGTGCCTACTACAGTGCTGGGCACATGGTGGCACTCAAGGCTTCCTGAATGCTTTGGTCTGTGAGGACTAGCTTGATTTCTAAGGCAGTTGGGATGGGAGGAACAGATAAGGGGAGGGGAAAGCAGAGAGAATTGGACTGAGGAAAGGAGGGAAGAGGGAAGAACAATCAGGCGAGCAGGGAGAAGTGGGAGGGAACAGGAGGAGAGCCCCACTGACTGCTCAACATCAGCCTCTTCCTTGGCGATCTCACACTAGAGGCTCCCCTCCGCTCGGCACTTGGGACTTCAGAGTGCATACCTGGGACTTGAGACTCTGCACCTCTTCCGTTAGGTTCTGCCGCTCCAGGAAAAGCTCATTCTGCCTCTTGAGGAGCAACACCAGCTGCTGGGCAGTGGACTGGCAGTGCCTGTCCAGCTGGTTTAACCTGGAGAAGAAGATGCCGTGGAATCAGAGATGGCGTCACAGCATGTGGCGCTGACCTGCCTGACTAGGGTTGGGACGGATGCCGAACGGCCCCAAGACAGTCATGTACAAACCCTCAGTTCAGTCCCAGAATGGGAAGAACTGGACCCCAGAGAATATTTAGCATTACAGATTATAGATCTGGAAAGGGCTGAGAGACCAGCTAAGTCCAATGGCTTCCCCCTCATTGTCCGAGCTCCTCCCTCTTCAAGTGATCTTGTCTTTAGTTAACCAGGGAAACGTTAAATGATCTCAGGAGAGTGTCAAGGCCTGGACTTTTTGTTTTGTCTTTGTTTCACCAACACCTAGCACGATGCCTTACACACAACAGGAGCTGATCATTAAATGTTTATTGGATACAGAAACTCAGGACCTCAGAAGTCATCTGGTCCGATCCATAGCAGAACAGGATTCAGCACTATAGTATATATGACAGTTTTCATTCAGCCTCTGCTTGGAGGCCTTTCTTTAGTCAGAGAGAGGCCTCTAAAGCAGAGCTTCTTACCCTTTTTTATATATAAATTGTTCTGGCAGTCTGATGAAGCCTTTGGACCATTTCTATTATCACTGTCTTCCCAAAATAACATAATTGCCTATGATAAAATACTTAGCATTACAAGGGAAATCAATTATCTAAAATACAGTTATCAAAATGTTTGTTAAAAGTTCACAGACGGGCAGCTAGGTGGGGCAGTGGATAGAGCCCTGGTCCTGGAGTCAGGAGGACGTGAGTTCAAATGTGATTTCTGGCACATAACACTCACTAGCTGTGTGACTCTGGGCAAGTCACTTAACCCCAAGTGCCTCGCCAAAAAAAAAAAAATTCACAGACACCCTGAAATTTATCATCAGACTTTACATAGGTTAAGAACTGCTGCTGTAGCAGAAAACCACTTTTGGAAAATCATAATGATTACAAAGTTGAATAGGGTATTGATTGGACTTGGAGTCAGAAACACCTGGATCCAAATCCTGCCTCAAACACCTCCTAGTTGCTCTGTGTGCTTCAGTTTATCTATAAATGAAGAGCGGTAGACCTGATGACTTCTGAGGGCCCTATCCTTTGATCCCAAGCTTTAATTTGCTTCTTTGCAACATCTACCCACTGCTCCTGATTATGGCCTCTTGCTCCAAGTTGAGCAAGTTCATTACCTTTCCAACATGACAAATGTCCTTGAACCAAACTATCTTCCCTCACCAGCATCCCCCCACACACACACCCCAAGTCTTCTCTTTCCCAGGCCAATCATCCCATGTTCTTTCAACTGATTGTCATTTGGGATGACTTCCAGGCTCTTTCCCGTTTTTCTGACACTCATATAGGACTGAACACAGTACCCCAGGTAGAATCTGAACAGAGCAGGGGATTATCACCTCCTTATTACCTGGATGGTGTGCCTCTCCCAAGAGGCAGTTTCCTATCATACTGTTAATTAACTCAAACAGAGATTTTAGTTGGCTAAAATCCCCAGATCTTTTGCAAGTGCTCTCTGGCCCCGTTTGCCCCATTTTGTACTTGCGAAGTTGAACTTTCGAACCCAAGTACAAGAATTTATAGTTACCATTATTAAATGGTATCTCATTAGGTATGGCAGAGTCTTCTAGTCTATCAAGATCTTTTCAGTTCTTCCAGTATATTAACTCTCTCTCCCAGTTTGTATCAAATGAAAATTTGATAATTATGGCATTGATACCTTTATCCAAGTCACTGATTAAAAAAGGGCCCAGCACAGATTTCTGGAACATTCTACTAGAGACCTCCTATCAAGGTGACATCAAACCATTAAGGACTGACTCCTTTTGGGGTCTGGAAGCTCAGCCAATTCTGAACCCAGGTATCTATACTACCACCCATCCTGGTGGTTCTGAAAGTGTGAGCTGGGGATTCCTGAGAACTTTTCAGGGGGCCCCATGAGATCAAAACCTTTTTCATAATAATAATATTAGAGTGTTTTAATTTTTAATATGGTAAGTTTGGTGGGGTGGGAACGCTCAATAATTTTTAAGAGTGTAAAGGGGTCTTGAGACCAAAAAGTTTGAGAACCACTGATTTAGCCCACACTTCTCTACCTGTTCCACAAGAATAGCATGACATACTTTACCCAATGCTTTGCAAAAATCTAGCTAAAGGATATCTATAGTGTTCTCATCTACCAGGTTAGTAACCCTAACAACAACAGCAACAACAAAATAAATGAACTGTTGAATCTCATTTTACCGTGTAGAAATTGAGGCAATCTAAAAATAAAAAATAAATAAATAAATGAATTGAGGCAATCTAATCCATACATGGAAAGAAGACTTCCACTTACAAGAGGTCCAACAAAGAGTCATCCAGCTTTAGATTGTGGACAGCCAGTAACAAGGAACTTCCTACCTCTCAGGGTGAACGGGGAATTCTTGACAGCTCCAGTGGTTAGTAAGCTTTCCCCTTGCATGAAGGCAAAATCTGCCTCTCTGCATTATCATGTATGTGTGATGGAAACCCTTGATACTGAACAGATGATAAGCTAATATTCTCTTAACAGGCTATCAGCCAGCAGTACAGAATCGCCCTCAGGTACATGTGGTTCTTGGAGAAGACATCAGTCAGCCTGACATTTGTCTCTCTTCACAAGGCTCCCAAAATCTGAGGCTGAACTGGAGCCATTCATAATGAAGTAGCAATTAGAAAATTCAAAGTTGAAGGAAAAAACATTAAATTCTAAAAGAAAAAAAGTGAAGATAGAAAAACTACTTTTATTCTTGAATTTACAAGCTAAAGGAGGATGCAAATCACATGATGGTAAGGATGCAGGGAGAGAGAAGATGCAAACTGTGAACTAAATGTTTTCCATTATGAATCACTTAGTCAATCATGAGCTCCAGGACTGATGACCAGATGTCTTCAAAGATTTGTTGTTATTTGTCATTCCTGCTGCTTGGGTATTCTACTTTCCAGAGTTGCTAATTCAGTAAAACTCTTATCCTTATTTATGCATTGCCTGCTTCCTCCTGCTAACAGGACACCTGTCTCACCCTTCTCTTTTATACTGGACCAGAGATGTAGCATTTAGATAACATTAGATAGCGTTATCATTTACTCTTCAAACTCCAATGAAAAGATCCCAAAGCACTGTCAGGAAAGGTAACCTTTATTTTGTATTTTAAAGAAAGTCCACTTTTTGTAGCACATCAAAATGCATTTTAAAACGTGGTGAACCTCATTACTATGGAAATTCAGGCTTAAAGATTTAAAAGTAGAGCAGAATGGGGTGGCTTTGTGCCCCAGAGCACAAACTACAAGTCCTGGCCTCAGTAAGTCTTCCTTGAAGGTGTACTTAAAAAAAAATTTATTTTTTCTCCAGTTACATGTAAAAACTATTTTTAACATTAGTTAATTTTTGAGTTCCAAATTCTATCCCTCCCTCCCTTCCATTCCACTCCTTGAGACTCTAAGCAATCTGATATAGGTTATACATGTGTAATCATGTAATACATTTCCATATTAGTCATTTTGTAGAAGAAACTTGAACAAAAAAAGAAAGTGAAAAAATAGTATGCTTTGGTCTGTATTCAGATGCCATCAGTCCTTTCTCTGGATGTGGATAGCATTTTTCATCATGAGTCCTTTGGGACTGTCCTGGATCACTGTATTGCTGAGAATAGCTAAGTCACTCACAGTTGTTTGTCATACAATATTGCTATTACTGTATACAATGTTCTCCTCACATCACTCTGTATCAGTTCCTATAAGTCTTTCCAGGTTTTTCTGAAATCATCCTGCTTGTCACTTCTTATGGCACAATAATATTCCATCACAATCATATACCACAACTGGTTCAGCCATTCCCCAATTGATGGGCATCCCCTTTATTTCCAATTCTTAGCCATTACAAAAAGAGCTGCTATAAATATTTTTGTATAGATATGTCATTTTCCCTTTTTTTGCTCTCCTTGTGATACAGACCTAGTAGTGGTATTGCTGAATCAAAGGGTATGTAGCCCTTTGGGCATAGTTGAAGATGTATTTTTAACAACTCAGTTTGCTCATTTGTAAAATGGGCATGATAATACTTGTACTACCTGCCGCTACCACTGTTATGAAAAAAGGGATTCAAATTCTTTGTGAGTTGTTACTATGAACTGGCCAGCACCAGTGTATATTCCATAAGGCTCTGTCAGTCTGTCCTAAGCCAGAATAGAGGTCCCTGACAGTTCTCCACCTTGACCCTGGCCACATTCAGAATGCCTAAACTGAGATAGTGGGCAGCAGGAAGCATGCTTTAGTATTTCCGGGACATGAAAATGGTTTAAATTAGAATCAGAGTAGGTCAAGATTAAATGACCTAGATTCAGCATTGCATTTTACCGATGAAGAAACTGAGGCCAAGACAGTAGTACCTTGCCCAAGATCAATAGCCTGTTAATGACATCCAATTATACAGATTTCTGTCTTTTCACAGACAGTCTTGTGATTATAATGCCCTAAGCTGAAATTTGGTCTATTTTCCTGGATCTGCTTTTCTGTTTATAGAAGAAAAAAACAGTGACCTTCTAGGAAGGCTGTGGGCATTCATTTGCCCTTTGGGAAGCACAGACTAAATAGAACACAAACTTGCTTCTGTTAGCCTGATTCTTTCACCTCCAAACAGTATCTTAGAAACTACCTCATGGGTGTGGGGGTGGGGAGAGTAATGGAAAGGAGAGCATTCCCCTAGGCTACATACCTGGAGTCTCCAAGGGAGCCAGATAAAAAAGGTATCTGAACCTCCCTAATATGAAAACTCAAGTTTTGGACTCTGGTCTCCCTGTCTACAAAACCTAGACACTGAAGTGAGCTCCCTCTGCTTAGTTAACTTCTCAACAGGCCAGCCTGCACTTTGATTTAGGCACTGAACCTGTATATGAATCCTGCTGTAAGCTGATCAAACACTGTAACCGCTGTCTCCAAACCCTACTTCATCCTCCACCGCTTCATGC